GGAACAAAAGATTTCAACACTTCACATGGCTTGCATGAAGACTCATAGACTCATACTTTCTTGATTTTCCTTTTCTTTTTTTCCTTTTTTTTTTCTTTTTTTTTTATTATTTATTTATTTATTTTATTAGTTAGAAATACAAAAAATCTTGAATAATAATTGAAGATTGATTTTCTTTTTTTTTAAAGAGAAGTAGCAAGAGTAATGTGGGCATATTGAATGGCCAATGTGTCTTCTTTTGTGGTCCATAAAAAATGCCCACCAAACTTTTATCTGTGAAAGTCTTTAATTTCAAGAAAACCGCCCATTCTTTCATTACTTTTTTATTTCTATTTATTCATTTTGTTAATATTTTTAATTTAAAAAAGAATTATGCCAACCGAACTGTTTAGTTAGTTGGATTTAATAGCAACCAACTATACCTATTTTATATATTCATATACTGAAATTATGCTGAAATTTATTTTAGGCTTGCCAAACACGTGCAACCTTTTGCTATCCTAGTACATTGTGAAAAAATAGCTAGGGATATAAAAGTAATTTTCGTACATGAATGTGTTTGCTATTGGTGGTTGTGAATATTAAGAATATATTTCGCCGCCGTGGGCGGTGGTTTGCCATTCATTGCGGTGGGCCCCTCTTTCTTGGAACTTTTCTTCTCCATTTATCTTCTTTTGTTTTTCCTTTTTGAAGAATCAAATTCTTTATTGAGTTGAAATACTTTTGCTGAAAAAGTTTCTTGTAATATATTCCTTTTTCTTTTTTTCCCAAACAACCCCTAATGTTAGATCGCAGTGGTTTAAATGAGTCGAGTTCGAGTTGAGTTCATTATTTGAAGGTTCTAGCTCATGTGATAATTTATGAGCTCGATCAAAATCACTATTATTTTTCACGAGCCAACTTATGAGCTTTTAATAATTGTTTTTTTTTTTTTAATTTAAGCATATTTATTATGTATTTATAGTATAAATATTGAAAACATTAATAAACAATGTACAAAGAGTGCCACCTCATAGTTCACATGTAGAAAAACCTCATAAGTCTGACTAGGGAGTGGGTCTACCAAATAATTATTTGGATATAAATAACTATAAAAAATAAAATTATCTAAATTTCTATGTGTACTCAAATTTGCAAAGTATTGAAAGAAAAAAAAAAAGAACATTATCTAAATTAAAATTGTATCCCACCAATGAAGAGCTCTTGATATGGTGGAACCTCTTCGAAATTTGTAGCTTTTGCTATCTGACAATAAAGGACAACACATTTTGTGATTGAAAGAGAATCAAATGTTCAACAAGTGATAAAATGGAATTATTCTTATGCATGTTAACATTTTTTTAAACGTTTATTTTATTTTATTTTGTAATGTATTCCTACTATTCTTGATGGGATGTTGATCTTCATTTCTTCATGATTGTTTAAGTTCATGTGAATTTTTATTGAGATTTAAAAGTATTATTTGGGTACTTTAGTTTAATTTACCAAATTTAGTTATTTGGGTATTACTAGAATATTATTTGATTCGTCCGAATTCGTTAGTGGGCTTCTTCAATCCGTATGTGTTGATGGATTCCCTATATTCTGCAAATAAGAACACAAGAAGGAAGAAACCGGGCTGATGCCGGAGTTAGCACTCCGACGATCAAGTCAGTACGGTTTTGATCTGAGAAAAGGAATAATTATGTTTTTTTATTTGTTATCTTTTTTGTAAGAAGGAAGTGCCTCTTAGGTAAATTAATCTCTTGCTATTTATAGAAAACTCGTGAGAACGGATTTCAAATACGGACTCCAATCCTATTTTAGTTGTCCCTTCAGAAGTGTTTCAGACTTATCGAGATTTATTAAATTAAATTCACCTGTCTTCTCGATGAACAGTGTTATGAACAGTGTTGTGAGCTGCTTATTCCCTAGACTGCATATTCTCTGAACGCCTTTTGACGCTTTAAGAGGGGATATTAAATGCAAGATGATTATGTCGGACATCATATCTTGCAGCTCTCGCTTCTATCCTCTCGCTACTGAGAGGGTCTCCCCTCTCGCATCCCCAGAGCCTTTGATTAGGTTTCCTAGCTAGACCCAGAGCACTTGATTTATCAAATCTAACCTGTATATTCTCTGCAGTTTCTGACATTTTGAGCAGATACGCATTAAATACAAGTCGGCGGTGCTACTCCCTTTTTCAGATAATATTCCTTGTTTCCCTCCTTTCATCTCGACGATCGCGAATTTCTTCCCTTCTGGCCCTGGAGTGGGCTCTCGCAAGCTTCTCCTTATTGGGCCTTTATTGGGCTCTCTTTTATTGGGCCGAAATGATTAGTTTTTTACTGAATCATTATTTTATCTCGGTGAGCTTGAGCCCGAGTAAAACATTGTATTGTATCGTATCGTATCGAATAAACATACATATTCAATTTTGATTAATCTAATCTAGTAATTTATTGCCATTGGCGTAGAGGAGGCATATGAAAAGTCTTGAGTCATAAGAACCTATATTTGAGGTGTCCAAAAGAAAATTATTGGTTAGGATACATTACGACCACCTATGGATTTAACGTCAAATTATGAAAAGAAAAACCCCACTTGTTTGGATAATTACAGGCTACAGCTATCCATAACTACGTATTGACTTATGAAGAAACCCCTCCACTAGGTACATCTAGGGGCATTCATTCGGTAAAACGGTACCGAACCGTACCGAAATTTCTGAATGCCAAAATTTCATAATATTTATCAAACTGAAATGTACGGTTCGGTTCGATAAATAACCGAATCACCAAAATTTTATTATTTTTTTAATTAAATTTTAGTTTAAATGTTAATATTACATATGCAATATAACTGAAAATCACTGGTTCGATAATGGACATGTACCGAATTTTATAAGTCGCTTGTGTGTAAAGCTCAGCCCATTACTGCAAATTTGTTTAACTTGGGCTTATCCGAGGTTGGTTGGGCCCCTACAAAATAAATACAAAAAATATTCTTGAATGCTGCTATAAGTCAATGGACCATTAATTTTAAAGGAAAAAAAAGCCGAGTTAAGTATGAAAATGTACATTTGAAAATCAAAATGTTACACAATAATTGATTCCAATTACCCTTGTTAAGTATGACAATGTACATTTGAAAATGGTATTTTACGTTTGTATTTCAATTTCAAACGCTATGTATATCGTCAATGAAATATATTGTTTATTGTTTTTCATTCTTGTACCACTGCTAAAATTTAATGAAAAATAATTTTTTTTATCATAAATATTGATTAATTAGAAAAAAATAATTATTATAAGGATCTCATTAGGGCTGCTTAATTTACATTCAGTTCAGCAAGTTGTACCACTTCTAAAATTTGGGCTTTTTTCTGAGGTTAGTTGGGCCTCACAAAATAATCATAAATATCCATTGTTGTTGCTTTATAATTAGACTTTGTTTTTTTCTTTTCTTTTTTTAATTATTCAGATTTGTAATTTTGTTCCATACTAAATATAAACAAACTCAATGTCATTTTGGTCAATTAAAGTGACAACTGAATAAATAAGCAGAAATTGTCAAGTGCGGACTTCATATGC